GATTAGTTCTGTGTGAGAGAGGTGGTGGTTAAGAATGGCTTTGCAGGAGGCTATGAAAGGATCTTCTACACGGTTGTTAAATTGTTGTTTTGCATATATTAATGGGTCTAATTGTGGTATTTGCATATATGTATATCATATTCACCTCCATTACCTTTTCTTGTCCCTTTCCTCTTCCAAACTAGCTAGTCCCCTTCTACTTCCATGTTATTGTCATCATTGTCCTTCTTCTTTCTTTTCTTCCTCTTCTCCCTCTCTCTCCCCCTCTCCCTCTACCTCCTCCTTTTATTTTGTGACCTAGTGAGTTTACTTAGGATCACTTACAGAAGCATGTGTGAGGGTTACTTACAGGACCTTGGGCAACTTACCAGTGGCAACACTACTGAAGAAAATGCCTCTGCCTCTACAAGCAACCATAGCTACCAATCCTCAGAGAGGGGTGGGGCCTTGTTGGGCTTCATGAACATGTGTTTTATTCATTTTAGTTCAAAATGCTCTATAAGTGCTAAGTGCTGAGTATAATAAACAAGAGTTTAATGAACAAGACTCCTGTCTTCATGAAGACTACAGACTGGAGGAAAAGAGAAAACATTATTATTAACTACTATGGCCAGAGTTATGAAAAAGAGGAGAGTAGTGTCAAGGTCATAGACAGAGGGAGCCCAGTGGCAGTAAGCTGACATTTCTTATCCCAGTGCAGCTAAAATGGAAGAGAATAATGGGAGGCTGCAATTTTGACTGAAAAAAAAAGGGGGGGCAATTGTTTAAAGATTTCTTTTTGAAGGGGTCATGTACAAAGGTTATATTTATCAAAAGTATCTAAACATATTCTGATTTAATGTAAACTAGAGGCAAGCATCTCTATTGAGTATAATTGTTTTATTAGTGATAAAGTATAGGGCCAACTGAGATGAGTTTACACATATGAGACTCAGAGATACAAATCAATCTTTTATCTAAAACAAAATTGAGCTGGATATGGTAGTAACCAAGGATGCTAGTTCAAGGATTTTCAAGTTCTGGGCCACACTGTGCTATGCAGCAAGACCTAGTCTCAAGAATATAATGTAAAAATAACAAGAGTTGAGCTGTAGCTCAGTAGTAGAACATGTGTTCACCATGCACAAGGCCCAAGAAGGTCTGAAAAGAATGTCAGATCCCCTAGAATTTGAGTTATAAATGGTTGTGAGCCACCAAATGCATGCTGAGAATCAAACCAGGGCCTCTACAAGAGTAACACATGCTCTTCACCACTAAGCCAACTCTCTAGCACCCCCATTTTAAATTTATTTTTTAAAAATATTTTTAAAACAACAATGAAGAATGACCACAAAGAAAAGCATTATTCAAAGTGACATTTTTACAAATGATATCAGAAGGAAGGCAGGAAAATTTATTCAAGTTGAAAACCTATAAACAGATTATTATTAATTTTATTTTCTGAGAATGAGATGTAGGTCTAACACATGCCAGGCAAGTTCTGTCCCCAGACAACAATTCACAAAGATTAATTCCCACCTTAGGCTCTGTGGTCTCTCTTTAATCTTTCTTTTGCATTCACACTTCCTCACCCCTTGAGAAGCCCAGGATAAAGGTGTCTTTCTGATGAACCTCAATAAGGGGTAATTCTACAGAGTTAGCGATAAGTCCAACTCCATCCATTCAATGTCCAAGTTCTCTGATCTACTAGATGGAATAAAGCACCATCCTTTCTTCACATCAGGGACAAGCAGATCACACAAACTGCCTGAGAACAGAGCCTGTGCTTGTACAACTGGGACTTCGTAGCTCCTTACTTAATTCATGAAACATGTAGATCCTCCTACCTGACCTTTTGTGAAGTGCAGAAGTTACCAAGATAAATAAGACAGTGTCCCTGCTTCAGGACATTGTAGTACAGAGGGACAAGAGTCAAATAAAGTCATAATTAAAGTGCAGTGTGAACACTTGGATCATTGGATGGAGTACTGGGAAAAGATAATTAGCTGTACTTGAAAGCCTGGCTCTTAAAGGATGGATAGGAATTATCTCTCAATTACATCATGTTTGAATGAATGTGTATTCCTATTTGCTAAACAGATTCTTCCAATTTCCTAACAGGATCATATGTTGCCTTTTGAAATTGAAGAAGTAAATAATTCAATTTTCAGTTTTCTGTGCTACTGTTGTGAAATAAAAACATGAGCAAAGTGGTGGATAGAAAGCAGAACCAGCACGGGGTGGAGAGAGGAGGGGCTCTTACACTGTGGGAACCAAGGCTGGGGAGAGCACAATGCAGAGCCATAGTAATGATCCAATGATTCATCCTGTCATTCCTCTTCCTCTGTAGCCATCAGGTTTGGGCGGATGCCACAGGCCGAGAAGGAGAAGCTGTTGGCGGAGATCTCCAGTGATATCGACCAGCTGAACCCAGAGTCTGCTGATCTCCGGGCCCTGGCGAAGCATTTGTATGACTCATACATAAAGTCCTTCCCGCTGACCAAAGCCAAGGCGAGGGCGATCTTGACAGGAAAGACAACAGACAAATCAGTTAGTTCTCTTCTGCTCTCTTCATGGGGGTGGCTGGAGCCAGGGGTACTTTCTTGGACTAAATGATCTGCCTCAGAATGCATGTGTATGCAGAATATAGCTCAGCTGTGAACTGTTAAAATCTTGTGGCAGGCTGGGTCCAAAACACAGGAAATGTATTCAAATAGAATAAGTAAACATTGTTCTGAAAAAAAGAGCAACTCCTCCAAGCTGTAGTTTTAAAAACACACACACAAAAAAACTTTGAGAGTAACACACGAACTCATAGGTGATCACGATGCTCATGAATGAATGTGAAGCCCTCTCATGCCCCTACCCTCTTTCCAGACCCATCTCTTTGCTCAGTGTCAAAATAACTGGTGAGGACACAGTGTCTCAGCAGCCGTGGAGGAGGCTGAGCAGGTGTAGAAGGTGTTGGATCCCACTTTTACCTTTCAAGGGTTCCGGAGTCATTCTTCCCAAGTTGAAAGTTGGCACAGAAGTCCACCCAGGGTATCATGAAACCTGTGTTCTTACAGTACCAAGCTTTATTCCTGGGAAACTGGCGACTCTATCCTTTTATTATATACATGAATCCTACTTTCTAAGGATCTAAGCTGCCTAAGCTACTACAATGGAATATTTTATTATTTTATTTTATTATTATGGGGGTTTGTGCTAAATATTGATTAAACTCAAAGCCTCAAGCATGCACGTACACCTGTGCTAGAGCTGAGATACATGCCCAAGCCTCAAAAGGATCCTTAAGCGACATTGTTTAGAAAATTCATAATAGTTGAAAATCATTGTGGAGTCCAGTTTTGTAGGAAGCAGAAAGCTTCCAACATGAAGCTGAGAATCAACACCAAATTGCATTAAAATGAAAAAATACATGCTGCTTCCCATTCCACTGTCAGCTGGGAGCATGACTGGGTCGAGTCTCTGTCCCTCAGTTTTTACAGACAGGGTCTGGCTTTGATGATGTGGTCTACAGAATGTCTGTAGGCAGTAAGAGCTGCAGATCCCATGCAGAAGACCTGGATCCAGCTCTTGAGAACCTTAGTGAACATGCCCAGGACATCGAGGCAACTAATAGGTAGATTCATGTAACTTGATACACATTTGGATTTTAGAAAAAAAATCATATTTTGTTGACTCTCTCAGGTGATCTCTTTCTCTTTAATTAAATGACTTAGAGCATAGTCATCTAATGGCTGTGAGAAAGAGCCACATGCCACTAAGAACAGTTGAGTTTCAGATACACAAGGGCCCAGATCCTGCAATTCCCAAGTATTTTATACATTCTTTACATTCCAGCCACGGGGCCATCTGAAGGCTGCTATTGTTTACTACCATCTTCATTTAAGGAGAAGGAACTGAAGTGGAGAGGCATGTGCACATAGACATCGGAAGGCTATGATGTAAGCTTTCTGACGTCTAGTTGGGAGCATTCTCGGCATGCTATTCCCAGGACCACACATAGTACAGTGCAGTCTGTCCACTAAGCACAAAAGGCAGCCATAGCAAGTGAAACATGAGTGAAGACCTGTACACAGCTAATCTGACTACAGAAAATAAGCTTACTTCATTCCCATGTTGAAAGTAAAGGAAGACTGCAGCCACATGACTAAAGAGAATGAAGACTTGAAGGCAAATTGCAACAGCTTGCCAAGAGCAGGTGCAGCAAAGAGGGTTGGAGTTTGGGATCTCAGAACAAGGCTCTGGGGAGGGGGTTGCTGAAAGGCAAGGAGTCCCATAGTAGTCAGTTCAGTTTTACCTAAACCCATTCATTTTGCAGGCTCTGGGCTCTTATCGTCTTACCTCCAGCACACACCTGAAATCCATGCTGGAAATCCTATCAATTTAGTACTACTTAGAAGCTAAGTTGGAGAGGAGAGAGAGAGTGCAAGCCAGCCCACCCTAATAGGCAAGAATTTAAATTTATTTAATGGTAGCCAATGTAGTCCTATCATTGTTCTGAAAGACACAGAGCCCAAACCACTAGAAATCACTTGGAAACCTCATCCCAACTGACTTTTTGGCTCTAAATCTTTGAGTTAAAAATAAGATAATTGGAGGCCCTTTGTGAAACAAATAGCTATTAAGCTATTTAAGGAAGGGGCTACAAAAGCTTGATTATAGACTTCTCAATTCAGAGGCCAAGGGTTGTCATTTTTCCCTAAAGTAAGTAGGCTTGTGCTTTGCCCATAATAGTTACTCAGACTATTTGTTTAATTGAATTAAAGACTGTTGCTATGCCCTTTGAAATTATGGACTTTCAACAGAGGGCTTTTCACTAGCCCAATATTTGTTCATCAAACTAGACATCATTAGTGATTGGATAGTGACAAAATTGCCTCCAGTTAGAGTCTAGAAAAAGAAAAAGAGGCCCAGCCAAATATAAACAACCCATTCACTGATTATACAGAACTAAAATCAAATTGTTTGGCACTGTTTTCTCCTTTTCTGGTGAAATCAAACCAAGCACCAATGGAAAGAAATAGTTCAGTAGAGAATATGGAAGAGAAACCCAAAATGTGATTTGAAGTGAGATTTGTTCTTTATCAGCATGGTCCTATTATTCATTTGATAGCATCTATCTCAGGGGTGTTATGTTATCTCTTGGCCAGGACTGTGAAAGCTAAGATTTGCATTGATAGGGAAAGTTTTGCTGAAGTGTGGCCTCTCGAGATGGTGGGGGATGTGAGAAAGTGGCTGAGGCCATGAGGAGAGCAGCTTAGGTCTCATTATACACACAGCTTGCAGCTGATGTCATCGAATCAGTTAGGCCAAGCCTGGGGGAGGCTGCTCAGTGTAGTGGATGACCAATTACCCAGAACCCTTGCTAAAGGAAATGATCAGACTGAAGAGGCCATTCTTTACGTTTATCTCACTGCTCAATTTAACCATAGCCTGTTAGGAACCCACCAGCTGCTGCCCTCTCAGCCTTTGCCTCCAGGCCAGCAGGAGCCACTCCCCCTTCTCAGCTACACTTCCTCCTTCTATATCTTATCCCCTTGGGCCACTCACACCTTTCAAAACAGATAAATTAAGTGTTCCTGCTCTCCTCCTATCAACTTTAACATCATATCTTTGGGATAAGATACCAATATTTTTCATCATCTTGCCTCCAAAAATATGGGCTGGGTATGCTAGGCTCAAGGGGATGTGGGCTACAGGAACCCTAGAGAAATCTTAGGAGTGGTATGCCTTTTCGCCACCCTCGAACCCATTCTCCCCACCACCTGCTTTTCTTCCACTGGTTTGCTTCAACCACAGCCCCTCCCTTGCTGAAGAAATCCTATGGATCTCTGAAGCCCACACTGTGCTGGAAGGCAGTTTGATAACTGAATGGACTTTGGGGTGTTTGACTATCACGTTGGTGCAGTGCAGTGGTCACATGATCCCATGTTTGTTGATGAAAATAAACTGAGTGGTTTTCAAAAACCATTCTCAGTGCCATGGCTTGTCATAAAACAATAAATAGAAAAACCCTGGGTATGCCTGCCAACTCTTCACTGAATATCTGAGAGTGATGCCTGGTGAAGCCCTGGCTTGTATTCTATCTACAAATAGGAAATAAAACTTTTTATTTGTACTGTGTTGGACTTTGGGTTCCAAGGCATCATGTTGTTTATGACAGGCACATGTAAAGTCACTGTTCTTGTAACGACTGGGGCAAACTGGTGCCATTTGGAAAGTGACCATTCTGAATAGTATATGAAATACAAAACCACTGAATCATAAAAACACTACAGAGCTGTAAACTGCTATGGAAATATTTCTGTGCCCACTTACATTTAAGCTTTCTAAAATATACAGAGGCCATCACATCATACTGACTTAAATCTTGGGAGAGATGTCTTCTTAAATCCTACTCTTAAAGTTAAACAAAGCATAGTCTCTCCCTTCACCTTTGAAGGGCCTGAATGAACTGAGGAGATAATATTGAGGGAGCTCATGGAGAAAGACTTAGGAACCCTGTAAGAATAAAGCAGAAAGCAGTGCTGAGTAATCTCCAAGACTAATGAACTTAGGTTCCTGGCATTGTTGATCCATCTACCAATAGTAATAAAATAATTTCTTTTATGACCAGAGTAATCAGCAATAGCTAACAGTATGACAGATCTAAACTAATAGTGAGGTGTTTTTTTTTGTTTTGTTTTGGAGAAGAAACAAAAATATTCTTATTCTAGGTTTGGGTTCAGTGATAGAACACTCAGGGTGCCACTCCCAGTACCAGACTATAGCAATAATATTATTCAGCATAGTTAAGGAGGAAAGCAGTTGGGCTTCTTTATTTATTTTTATTTTATCTATCTATCTATCTAAGTTAGTTAGTTAGTTGTTGGACTGAGTTGGCCAGTACTCTTGGCTGATATTGAACAATTTATTTAAGAGCTGTGGTTATGTTTCATTTGAGTGTGAATAATTCTTATTAAGTTTTCATTTGTTTGTCTTAAATCACTAAACCACATGGGTACACATAATTACATCTGACAGACTTTCTCACTTAACTTCTATCATTGACTATAAGAAATATCATTCAAAAGTCACTGCTTGGGGACCTCAGCACAGAAGAGCTTGGGTTTAAAAGCCCTAGTTCTTTCCAGAGAAGTGATTTTATTGAAAAGGATTAAAATGCATGGAGAAGCCAGGGGAAAACATTATAGAAGAAGCAATCAGGAGGATGTGCCAGTTCTAGGTCAGGGATTGCTATAAAGAACTCTTGGACTGTGCAAAGTATCCTGGCTTTCAGTCTCTTCACACTTAGAGAGTAATCATGTGGCTTTCAGAAGAGCCTTTGCATTCTGTGGGTCCCATGTGGGTCAGCAGAGATACAGGAGCAAGAACAGAAAGGAGGTTGAGGAAACCAATGTACTTGGGGTTAGCATTCATTAACTGTAGCTCATAGAGGACAAGGTGTGTGCCTAACATTATGAAAACCAAGAAACAGGAAGACAGACAAAATCTAAAAGACAAGCTCTAAGAATGTAATGTTCTTTGGAAAACCTAAATATCTGGGAAGGCCCACGAAATGAGGCCCACATTTCCCAAACCCGGGTCTTGTTGTTTTGGTTTGGTTTGGAAACAGGTTCTCGTATAGCCCAGGCTGACCTGGAGTTCACTCTGTAGCCAAGATGAACTTAAGCTCCAGATTCTCCTGCCATTACCTCCCCAATGCTAGGATTACAAGCAAGCAGCACCATGCCTGGCCTCCAGCTGTAACTCTGCACTGTTATTTTCGTGAGATTTTCTGTGAGCAGGTTGGCTACTATGCAGATGTGTATGTGACAAATTAGAGAAGTTACCCAGAGCTGCCTTAGCCAATCTTTCTTATTTACCTCCTTTAATGGGTTGTTTTATTAGTCAAGAGGAGCTGACTTAGCACTTTGTGTAGAATCCCTTCCATACCTTAGGTATTAATCTGCTGATGGCTTATTAAGAGGTGCATCCACACAGTATTAAAGGCTGTGGTTAGCATTTATGAACCCAAATCCAGTCCCTAGTGGCAAGCAAAGCTTAGGCATCAGGGAATCCCATTCCCAGAGACTTGACCACTGTTCTGAGAAATTTTGTTCTCATCATTTGCATATTTTTCTTAGACTGTGTATGCATTTTGGGCCCTAAAAATCCTAGATGGGCCACTGAGCATGTCTAGTTTTAGTTTTACTGGTAAGTAAGGATGCCTACTTAGACATTTGATGCCATTTCTGAAGGTAAACACACTATAAATTAGAAATAGGAAATCACTGAGTCAAATTTTGAAGACAGTGTGACTCCTCCCGCAGATGGTGTGTCATCAGAAGACACTATACAAGCTAATCCAAATCACAAGGGCCCCCTTAACTTTGTATAAAAAACAAAAATGTGATCAAAGCCATACAGGCTGTTGATGATACAGTGTGTTAATAACTCAGTTCTCAATAACCAGGCAAGCCACTGCTTTCTTAGTAGGTTTGAGGATGAGGAAGTCTCAGTAAAATGTGAAAGTGATGCCTTAGCGGATGGTTTGTGGTATGAGCACTGGTGAGCTGGTGGCCTGGGAATCACTCTTACAGTTTGACAGATCCATACAGAAGTAGGAAGAATTTATGCAGTCAGAAAAAAAACATAAAATTATAACTAGGAAAAACAACAACAAAACCTCCACTGGTGTTCATTTGTGTGTCAGTACTCAGTGTTCTCTGCCAGTCCCCTACTTTTTCAGAAATGTCAGAAATGCCGAAGGGATTTTCTTTTTTTTAAAGCAAAACTGTACTGGTTTGGCATGAGGGTGGGGGTGTTGCCTCTTTTCTCTGTCCTTGAGTAGTTACTGCCAGGATATCCTGACCAACACTGATTGCCAAGGGGTTAAAGTCACATTGTTGTTAAATTGGGAGAGAAAATTTGCAGGATTTGGTGCCCTATGTTCAGCTATCCCAGAGTTTCAAAAACAGGAACCTGGGGCTTTATATGAGGGGCAGGGGAAGTCAAGGAGAATCACAAGGGTGATGGACCAGGGCAGAGTTCCAGACAAACCGCTTACTCGGAGGTGAAAGAATCTAATAATTATGCTTTGCCAAGAACCCACATGACTGATCAGAAGCTCACCCAAAAGCTGAAGGGGCAACTCCGGGCACAGTCTTCCTGGGTGTGAGGAGATAGTTAACTGTCTTGATTCTGTGCTTGTGTTTCCCATCCTGGGGATGGAACTCGGTGCCTTCAACATTCTAGGAAAGTACTGTAGAGGGAACCATATTCCCAGCTGAGGTAATGATGTTGTGTTCATGTTAGCTGTAGTCCAACATGTTTGGTTGAAGTTCTTTCTTTGTTGTCCACATTCATATTCTCACGATAATAAAGAATGTCAAGGGGCTTTAACTAGGGATGTGACATTCTTGGAACCCTATACTTAAGCCCCAGTAAAGCATAAGTCAAGTATGGTAGTGCTTGTTTAATTCCAGCACTTGGAAGGTGGAGGGAGGAGGATCAAAAGTTCAAGATCATCATCTGGTATATATCAAGTTTAAGGCCAGCCTAGGTATATGAGAGGTTGTCTAAAAATGTTTAAGTCATTTGCAGTCTGTTAATATAAATTATAATACACTATAAAGCACCTAGAGCATCAATAGATGAGAAGGAAAACATTTCTTCTAAAATTCTGCAAAATCATCTTCATCCATTCAAATTTTTCTCATGGTTAAAATCTGACCAGAATGCAGGGATAACACAGTACATTTTAATTGATATAATTGACTGTGCCTTTCTTTATCCTCTTCTTACTAATGATGCCAATTATGAAGACTAGGGATAAACAGAAGCAGGATATCAGAGAAACAGTGAGCATGATTTGCTGCTCCTGATTGTCTTGAAGAATTAAAGGCAGCAAGCACACTGCCTCTGAGTCCTGAGTCTCTCCTCTCTGAGGTGTGAAGAGCATTGTGGTTGAAATGAATTGAGGGCAGCAGTATTTCTAGAATAACAACTCTGAAGAGTTTGTACAATGCGTGTATTTGGAAATCTACTCAGAGTCTAGGAATCCCCAGTGTGGAACAGAATGAGCTTGGTGAAAATGAGAGACTCTTTCTTATCTGCAAGAGTTCATAATAAAATATCTGGCCAGTACATCTTGAAGCTGGCTACTGTTGTCACCTATGCACCCCCCAACTCTGCCAATTAGGAAAGCTTTCAGAACCTCTGCTCAAAAGAAATTACTTTTAGTACATCAGAGAGTTTGATCATGTGTCACATAACACACACACACACACACACACACACACACACACACACACTGCCACCATACACACTAGAAATATAACTAGAATCTCCTCTAGAAAAAAAATATAAACCTCCAATTTTGTCAACTCCCCAGCAGTGGTGTCGCATACTTTTAATCTCAGTACCATTTGAGGTCACAGCCTAGATAGCCAGGGATACACAGAGAAACCCTGTCTCAAAAAAAACAAAAACAAAAACAAAACAAAAACCTTGAGACTTTAGAAGGGTAAATATCATATGATTAACTAGCCCACACAGCACCTGACAAAGCTCACAACCATCTGTAACCCTAGTTCCAGGGGATCTGACATATACAAGCACTAGATACATGTATGGTACACTTATATGCATACAGGTCAACACCCAAATAAATCTTTGGTGGTTGGGGGTGGGGGGTAACAATAGAACCAAAATCAGGACCCAATAGCCTCAGTTTTTATTCCAGTGCTCAAATATATAATATTTAATGAGATTGAGGTCAGCTCTTTCTAGGGTCAGTACATGTAATAAGTGCAAAATGTTCCCTCTTCCTAGCTGCTCAGCCATCAGACTGTCACAATGACCGTAAACCTTTGGCTGTTCTATACAAAGGAATAGAGAGTAGAGTATCATGACAAATAGGAGTTGCTTCTGAAAGCAGCCTGTTGCAAACCTAAGTAATTGATGTATTCATTTTATTTATTAATTGATCCTTAAGAAGAGATATACTAAAATTTAAGTTCAGGGCTGGGGCTGCAGCTCAGTGATAGGGCATTTGCTTAGCATACGTGGGACTCTGTGGTTAAATTTTCAAAACTACAGAAAATAAAAAGCTAAAAAGCATTTTTATTTTACTATTTTTTGCAATATTGTACCCACAGGGTCTTCTACAGCTGCTTTTTCTGAAACACATGGCTTCCAGAGCATTAAAAAAAAAGAAAGAAAGAAAAAAGAAAAGGAAAGAAATAGACATTTTCTTGGCTCAATATTTTTAATCTGCTTTGAATGAATTTTTATAGTGAAATATATTTTATATGTACACTGTGTTTCCTTTGTGGTCTATGTAAATTTAATCTAAAGCTGCAAGATTAGTTTATGTTTAAATGGATTTTTTCAATTATAAGTTGCTTTAACTATTTTTTAAAGACTAAACGTGTATTCTCTTGAAATTCAAGAAAAATAACAGACTTTTTGTCATTTCAAAAAATCTAACAAGTCAAAACTATTAGCCAGTCCCAGGGTAACATAGTGGTAGTGTAATTTGAAGGAAAAGAGGAGCAGAGTTTATGGAATGTTTGGCCAGAGCAGATCTTAACGATGAATAGGAAGAGCCCTTTCTCCTGATTTAGCCCCTTTAGCCTTCACTGTTTTATTCAGCAAAGCAATGCATACATAGTCTTTGGAACTAGGGTGGTGTCTCACAGAACAAGGATTCACCAACTCAGCCGCTTTCCCCTTTTTCATTTGCAGCCTTTTGTCATCTACGACATGAATTCCTTAATGATGGGAGAAGATAAAATCAAGTTCAAACACATCACCCCTTTGCAGGAGCAGAGTAAAGAGGTGGCCATCCGCATTTTCCAAGGGTGTCAGTTTCGATCTGTGGAAGCTGTTCAAGAGATCACAGAATACGCTAAAAATATCCCTGGATTCATTAACCTTGACTTGAACGACCAAGTGACTCTTCTCAAGTATGGTGTCCATGAAATCATCTATACGATGCTGGCCTCCCTGATGAATAAAGATGGAGTTCTCATATCAGAGGGCCAAGGATTCATGACCAGGGAGTTCCTCAAAAGCCTGCGGAAGCCCTTTGGTGACTTTATGGAGCCCAAGTTTGAGTTTGCTGTGAAGTTCAATGCACTGGAATTAGATGACAGTGACTTGGCCATATTTATAGCTGTCATTATTCTCAGTGGAGGTAAGATCCATCTTTTGATTTTGCTTTAGAAGAAGGTGGGATGATGGTGGGATTGCATTTCCTCAGTGTTCTGTGTTGCTTTTTACTGACTGTGTTTGTGCAGAACATGCCAATGGCACAGTGCCATGAACATGTCACTCCCCAAGCTGAATACTGTTGGCTTTCAGAGTGAAGGCTGTGGCAATCTAGATTCTTTGCTTTTATTCATCACACTACTTTTTTCTAGCCAAATCCAATCATGAAAGACAAATGTCTTCTTTTCTTTTTTTCATATTATTTTTCTTTGTCTTTCCCCCTTCCTTCCCAAAAGGCCAATCGGTCTTCAGTTCACTTTAGCAATGATGCATGTAACTTAACTTCGATGATGCTCCTGTGGTATAGAGCAGGCAACTCTGTGTGATCTTGGCCCAGTTAATGCTTCACCCCTCTTCCCTGCATCAGGAATCAGGGAATGTGCATATGCTAAGCTCAGACTTTCCCTCTCAAGTGGCTTCTTGTGGCTTCCCTTTTGTGCCTTTGTAAGGCACTCTGTGTGATTACCAATACAGTGTGAACCAAGCGCATACTGCAGAGAAAGAAATTGAGCTACTTGCAGATACATGATCTAACTAATCAGCTCCAAAAGCCACATTTTATACCAAATGTTACTTTCAGTGGCATCTCTTTGTTTCCAAGTAAGCAGAACTTTCTGCTTTCATCTCTAGCTATAAAAATTGCAAAGCCAGATGTAATGGTGAACACTTAGAAGCCCAGCACTGAGGAATCTGAGGCAAGAGAATCTTGAGTTGATGGCCAGTTTGGGCTACATAGTCCTAAAACAAACAAAATTTTGCTTTTTAAATGGTGAGTTCTTATATTGGAATTGACCTTAGGTGCATTTTCTGTGTGAACTGTGCAGCAATCTACTTGTGAAAACTCACCTGTAGGGAAGGGGAGCCTGTAGGTGTAAAGGTGTGTTATTGTTTCATATAAAGAGCGTGATCCAATGGTTAGTCTTGTGTGATTGAGAGCAGATGCTTTCTAGTAAGGTGCACAGTGATTATCAAGGACAGTAAGAACCAACACCAAGGAGGTACCTCCAAGGCCAGACAGTGTCCTGAGCACTTCCTAAACAAATCCTCACAGCAGCTCTGTGAGATGAGTGTCATTTTCTTAAGTGAGGGAACAGAAGCACTGGAAGGTATGTGCCTTTGCCCACAGTGATGTGACATGTGTAAGATGCACCTAGGGAGCCAGGCATAATAGTACATGCTTTTAATCCCAGCACTCCAGAGACAAAGGCAGAGACAGAAAGATCTCTATGAGTTCAAGACCACCCTGGTCTAGAGAGTTCCAGGCCAACCAGGTAACATAATAAGTGAACCTGTCTAAAGAAAGATGGACTGGAATTGCTAATCTATTTGCAGAGTCCATGCTCCCAGCTTCTATTCTGTGAAAGCAAAGCTGCTTCACATGACTAGGGAGCAGAGAGATAAGCAATATGACAAGGGTTAGTCAGTATCAAGTGGTAACTCACTTTAAAGTAATTTTGTGTTGTCTTTGTGGGGATGGAATCAAGAATCAGGCATGCAGTGACCACTGACAAGCAAGCATCTCCTACCCCAGGCATGGCACATCCTCACATACTGAATCAACATGTTTTTAGAGTTGAGAGGATGAGTTTTAGGAGTTTTGGTCCTAGGGATTAAACTCATGGCCTCAGGTATGTCTACCAATGAATTACACTCCCAGTCCTAGAAGCACCATTAATGACTATAAAATACTTTTAAAGGGTCTCTTATAGACCAAATCATCTCTCTATATATTTACATTATTATTTCTCTTTGAATGGCAGTGAAAATATAGAAGAGTGATGAAAAATGTATTCCCTTACTTTAATTTTTGTTTATTTCATTGTTTAAGTTTTTGAAACAGGATCTCAGGTTACCCTGAACTCACTATGTTCCTGAAGCTAGCCTTGAACTCCAGATCCTCAGTGCTAGGATTATAGGCTTGTGCCAACATGTCTTTCTTTGGAAAGTGTTCTAAATTTTGATTATTGAATATTCTTCTATGTAAATTTCTATCTAAATATCAAATGATTTTGTCATTGTAAATTTCCAGAAATGAAATTCATATCTATAAACATTTTTAAGTCTTTTATTTCATTCATCATTGCCAGATCGCTTTCCATAGATTTTGCAGTTATTTATATCCACAGTCATTAAGGGGTGGAAAAAAAAAACATTCAAACATCTTACTTTGTACACAGGAAAGGCTGAACAAGAATCAGTCATGATGGGCTGGGGGCAGGAGCTCAGTGGAAGAGTGCTTATCTGACACATGCAAAGGTTTCAAGCACCACAGAAATAAAAACACACACATACATACACACACACAGGCGTGCACATATATACACACATGCATACACACAAACATACATGCACCATTCATTAGTTGGTCAAGAAACCACACTCTAAATAACGTGCTGGGATTTGATACTGTAGTTACTAGCTCATGTTAGTTTACGGAAGTTAGAATGGCACCAGTGACAAGTACTCTGTATAAAGAAGTTCCTTTTGAACTTTCGCAGATTGTCTTCACAAAAGCCGGGATCCAGATCTCATCTGGCCCACACAACAATGAACGATACCCCAAAGTAGCAGCCTGACAGATTTTTAAAATCTTTTAATCCTCATGAATATTTCTAGACTTCCTCAAAGCAGAGGATTAGCCACTGATGTGTTCCTACATCACAAAAAGGAAAATCCTTCCCTGACCAAAGTTGATTTTTATAGATGAAGTCTAACTATGGGCGACAGACAAGAGTAAAACTGGCCCATGTTTGTAGAGCTCACAGGAATATGATTCTCTCTCCTCTTTACTTGGGGGATGGGGAACTGGTTGGGTGCAGGCCAGGTACAAGCTTCCCAACAGCCATTCCCAGTCCAAAGACTGGCTTCCAGTAAGTTCTCAACATCCATAGATGTGAGATCAATATCCCAAATCCTGCTTTATTAGAGAAAGACAGTTTGCAGGTTAGCCTGTGCTTGTTGGTTGTTTTTCCTTATTCTAAAATTCCAGGAAGAGAAAACATCATGTAAACAAGAAGCTTTAATCCAGAAAACAGAATTCTGTCCCTATCTGATCTTAGTAAGAGCAATCATCTCTTCCACGCTTCAGAAGCTGTTCTTTAGGCAAGGACCAACTGACGGCTTCTGAGCTGGAGCTTTGGCTTTGGTGAAGACACTTAAGGTGTTCAGGCTGGGAAATGATGATGAAGCTGAAGCTGTGTAAGAAAGAGGACCAGAGCTGAGTGTGGGGGTGCTTAGATGGACCAAAGAGGAAGATTGCAGTTAGAAGTATCAATTTGACCCAACTCAGGATTTGCTGGGGAAATAAGTGTTGCTACCCACTAAACAGTGCTGACCCTGTTGATCTGGTTCTTAGATTTGAACTGTGTTTAGCAGCTCCTCATGTACTAAGCTCTTGCAGCCAGCTTGCTGAAAGAGATGACCTAGTTCTCAAAGTCTTCTTGTCTTTCTCCTCTGAGCTGGAGCAAGAAGTGGAATAAAAGGAACAGTAGTACTTCAGACTAAAGCTTAGCACTTCATAAGAGCTGTTCATAGTCTTCCATGGATCCCAACAGGGCACCGGTGAGTTTATTCTCACTTCACAGGCAGAAAAATCAGGGCCCTGGCCTCAGATTTGTACAAGATCTGATGCCTATTGAATAGTAGTAGGACTGGGCTAGAAGCCAAATGTCCTGTCAAGGTGGTAGCCCTGTCCCTTTGCTTCCTTACTCTCTGCAGCTGGCAACTGCAGCCCACACTCCCACCCACACGTTCCTTCCTTAAGGCCTGAACCTGGAAGCCAGGGGAGCACTTCCTTGTAATCCCAGCAAATAATAGCTTCCGTTGCACCCTCTAGTCTTACTGCTGGGTTAGGTGGTGTTGAGAGTAATAAAACTGAGTCCAGCAAGGAGATGTTTGCAACTGGCGCCGTAGACCCATGCCAGCCTTGCTAGCAAGCTTTCAAGCCCTGCTCTGTGGCCAATGCCAAGTGTGAAGCTCAGGGAATCTGGCAAACTCCAGGACACTCCACTGGATACTTTGCCCCTTAAGTGTGTGCTGTGTGGTAAAGAGAAGCCTAGGAGGATCCAGCTGGAACTCTCCAACAGGAAAAAGCTCTTGTTAATTCAGAACAGCTTGGAGTCCATTTCAAATTGCCCTAAACTTTTAAGATATGAGGGAGGAAATTCACTGGATTTTACAATGTACTTTTCAAGGCAAATTGCCACTGCTGTCTGAGTGACAGAGAAACTGCAACTATCCCTACACGTAGCAGCAATAGACAGCGAGTCATCAACCTCCACACTTACTCTCTAGTCTGGCTTGTGCCAACCACCTACAGAGTGTCCCCTGCTCTTTCCAGCAGACCCTGAAATGTTCCTTCTTCAAAGCAGCTCTGGATGGCTGTTCTTGGAGTGACTGGCTGTTGAGTGGGTAGAAGGTGGTTATGTTCCCATAGTTATACATTTGCCCACAAAAGAAGACTTGATACTGTTTGTCAATTTGACCTTGTTCTGTCAAGTCAATAGCTTGGTGCTCCATTGCTTCGTCATGGACCATGGCCGATGGGTACACTTTTTAATTTATTGGACTTAAAACAGAGTCAGAGCACATTGCCTAGAATGAGTTGACAGATGCTTATAATAAGTAAAATGGCAACACTAACCCCCATTTGTTGAATATCCCAGAGATCTAGAACATGTGCTCTATTCCTAGACTTTGATCTGTCTTTCCTTGAGCTCTCTATATAGCCTATACCCCAGTTTATAGATGGAGAAAATGGAACTTGAGAGAAAACAAGTTACTGCCTCTAGTCACTGAGCTACTAATTGATAAGGCCAGGAATGTAGCTCAGTGACAGAGCTCACATTGAGCATGTGCAGACCTGGGTTCAATCCCCAGCACTGCAATCATCATCTTCCTCATCATCATCATGTACTTCTCTGTGAAATTCTGTTGCCTTTTGAGTAATTGAGATGAAGAAGGCTCTAAATTGCCATGATCTTAGGACTCTTTAGAAGCTACCAAAAATAACTATTTCCATGCTTCCTATAAATATTTGTAATTAAGAATATTCATATATTGTTTCTAATATCGAATGCCCTTCTTAAGATACAATTTAACTAACTAGAAAGCATTTTACCCACTGAGCTGTCTTCTCAGACACCTTCTTTGGCTTTGAAAAGTGCTTGGGAAAGGCCTAGGTTTTGTGATAAGCTGAAGGCTGGTGCAATAGTTCTTACATCTGTCATATAGTAAGCACCTAGACACAATGGTTTACAAAGATTCCGACAAAAGTAGACAGTAAACTTCAAATGACTAAGTAAATATGTTTCCACTTAACCAGACACCATCATATAGCAGGTCAGGAGAGAGATAAATGGTTACAAAGAAAAGTTGTAAGAACAAGCTGGGGAGGTTGTTTAGTCAGTGAAGTGATTGCTATGTAAGCATGAGGACCTGGGTTCAGATCTCCAGCACCCATGTGAAGGCCTTCTGCTATGGCACATGGGTGTAAAACTAGCACTGGAGATTCAGAGGCAGGAAGATCCCTGTAGCTTGCTGGTCAGCCATACTAGCTGAATCAGCTGACTCCACTTTCAGTAAGAAACCCTTTCTCAAAAAGTAAGGTGGCAAGTGAGGAAGACACCCAATGTCAACCTCTGACCTCCATATACACCTGTGCACAGGAGGATAGGGTGGAGCACAAGCATACAAGCATTCACGAGAGGGATTTAAAGTTGTTAAAATGCTGTCCAGTGTCTTCATGTCTCTTGTTCTAGAGAAACAGCTGAGCAGATGGACACTTGCTCTGTGTAGTTCAAGCAAATAGATGCTTACACAGGGGAGTTGCAAAGCACCTCGTTCAGCAGATCAGAACACAGAACCCACTGCAGATCACCTGGGGCAGAAGGACTACCAGGTTTGAGAGTGTCCCTCTACCCCTGTACCTCAATTACCCTTCAGACCTTGGGTATATGCTTCCATTTTACCATAGAGTGATCTCTGTAAGTGGACAGCACAACACATTCTGTGGAGAAGAAGGGTATATGTGTCTAATTGGAGCCCTACAATAGCCATACTCTTGACTCTTCTCAGCACTGGGACCTTTATATTGTCAGTCTGTGAACCCCTCCCATAGTAATTAAGTGAAAAGGAGACAACATCTAAACTACTTTGAAACTTAAACATTAAAAATAAGTATAAATAGCAATAGACCAACTTTTTGTGTTTGGTAATCCTGGGTATTGAATTTAGGGCCTCATGCATGCTGAGCATAGGCTTTCCCACTGAGCTACAGCCTCAGCATTATGCCAGCTTCCTATTTCTTTTATGCCAGCTAAATATTTAACTTCCTTCCCCATTGAGAAAGTTGTTTTTCCAACTGTTCTTCAGATATTGAAAATAAACAAGGACATCTAATTTCTCTTGAGCTGGACAGCCAGTGTTATCATGTCTCCTGTCCGCCATCAGGTGATGGCCATGTCACAGAGAAATAGCTGGTTTATTAAGGACTAACATATCTAAAGGGCTCTACCTACACCATGTATGAGGCAGCCCTGTGTGAGATTGGCAGAATGGCTTTGAATAATGACTCAGTTTGAGTTATCTAGAAATGTCCCATTAGTTCTCTGTTTTCATAACCTCATGCACTTGGTATGATAGGGGTGAGGTATATTTATGAGTTTGCAACTGGCACCCAAATACTAAAAACCAGAGAACTGGGGGCAGGGATGAGGTAATGGGGGAAACAATGAAACATCTTAGAGTCACCCCATAGATGTACATGTGAGAATGTGTGTGCAGGCTCTTGTCTGTAGAGTATAGAAGACTCCTTATCTGGAACTGCTCCAGAAACAAAACTTCCTCCTCCGCCCAGGCTGGGTAGGCCGCCATCATCTTGGAACTGAGCAAACAGTGGCATTTGAGACAGACCTAGGATTGAAACTGCTGAGTCATTCCTATGCACACTGGCAGTGTTGGAAGAGGCTCCTTAGCCAGTCACCGGTGGCTTTTCAGAGCACTTTATCATTTTTGGACTCTCAAAATGTGTATTTAAACTCTGGATGACCCCAGGCAGCCTTCCAGATAGGCAC